TGCAATTCATCATGCGTTGGATATATCAAGCAGGTATTCCTCTAAATACTATTCGCTTGAGAAGTTTTGAAGTGATGCTAGAAGCTGTGGGGCAATTTGGCCCTGGTTTGATACCTCATTCTTATCATGAAGCTCGAGTAACGTACTTGAAAAAAGAAGTACAGTACACAAAAAATCTTATGGGCGATCATGAGGTAGAATGGAAGAGAAATGGTTGTTCGCTGATGTCAGATGGGTGGACTGATAAGAGGGATAGGACACTAATCAACTTTTTAGTTCATTCATCTGTTGGAACGTTGTTTATGGAATTCATCGATGCATCTTCATGCATCAAAACTGGAGAAAAGATTTTTCAACTCTTAGATGGAATGGTGGAGAAGATTGGAGAAGAAAACGTTGTCCAAGTTGTGACGGATAATGCCTCAAACTATGTCCTAGCTGGAAAACTTTTAGAAGCCAAGCGACCTCATCTATATTGGACACCATGCGCTGCTCATTGTCTAGATTTAATTTTGGAGGATATTGGAAAGATTGAGCAGGTGAAAAGGTGTCTTCGGAAGGCCGTGGCACTTAGTGGTTTTATTTACAACCACTTGTACGTGCTAAACATGATGAGAGAATTTACTAACCAACATGAATTGGTAAGACCAGCAGTGACTCGCTTCGCAACTTCATTTTTAATCCTAGCCAGTATTCACAGAAATAAAGCCAATTTGAGGAAGATGTTTATTTCTGAGAAATGGACCACCTCTAAATGGGCGAAGGACCCAAATAGGAAGAGAGCAGCTGAAACCGTTATGATGCCATCTTTTTGGAATTCAGTTGTGTATACTTTGAAAGCATCGGGCCCTTTAGTTCGTGTGTTGAGGCTAGTAGATGGTGATAAACCGGCTATGGGTTATATTTACGAAGCTATGGATAGGGCAAAGGAGGCTATTAAGAGTGGTTTTAATGGAAATGAGGCGAAGTATAGACCGATTTGGGAGATTGTTGATAAAAGGTGGGATTGTCAACTTCATCGGCCTTTACATGCAGCCGGATATTATTTGAATCCATCTCTTTTTTATGACAACAAAGAGAGAATAATGCAAGATCCTGAGGTCATGGATGGTCTGATCAAAGTTATAGAACGATTAATACCATCTATCGATGATCAAGTTCAATGTTCAATCGAATTAGAATTGTACAATGAAGCAAAAGGCATGTTTTCGAGTAATGTAGCAATAAGGACGAGGGGTGTTAAAACACCAGGTAATGACATTATTTATTACTTTTAGTTTTAAATTTTTAATAGACATATTTAAGTTTGAACTACTAAAATTCTAAATCATTTGTTTAATATGTGCACAGCTGCATGGTGGTCTCTTTATGGTGTTAATGCTCCGATTTTACGAAAGTTAGCCATGAGAGTCCTTAGTCTAACGTGCAGCGCTTCTGGCTGTGAGCGCAATTGGAGTGTTTTTGAACACGTAAGTGAGAATAATTTGGTTTTTCCCTTGTTAGTTGAAGATTGAAAAATCCACTTTTGACTCTACATCGTTAATAATTCTGTAGATTCATTCCAAGAGGAGGAACAGGTTAGAGCAAAAGCGTCTTAATGACTTGGTTTATATAAAATATAACCAAGCACTTAAAGAGCGCTACACTCTACAAGACCAACTTGATCCAATTACTTTGGATCATATTGATGAAAGTAATGAATGGTTGATCGGAACACTTGAAGAAGAAGATGGTCAAGAAGAAAATGAGTTGGTCTTTGATGATGACGACCTCACATGGGGAGATGTAGCCGAGGCTAGTGGTGTTAGAGAACCCATAAGGCAAACTAGAACATATGCAAGATCTAAAGGAAAGTCGCCTGCTACTCCCGCTCCTACAACTTCAAGAGTTTGAAAATCAGTGCAAGTTGTGGTTAGTGATGATGATGATGACACCGAAGAAGAAGAAGAAGAATTGGAAAAAGAAGATTATGAGGACGTCCAAGATGAAGAGAATTTAGATTTAGATGAGGATTATGAGCTTTGATTACTTATATTTACTTTTTGTTCTATTTCAAACTCTACAATTTCTTAATGTTGCTTGTCTTTATTTGGAACTAAACTTATAGAATTTGGTTGTTTTATGCATCTTGTTGACATTTACTATTTTGGTATTGATTTTTTTAAGGTAATTTATGCACTATATATATAATTTTTACTTATTTATCAAGGTGCGCCTCGCTTCAATCGAGCGTCGTCTTTGTATCGCCTCTCGCCTCAAGGCGATAAAAAAACTCGTCGCCTTGCGGTGTGCCTTGCGCCTCGAAACACTGGGTCCGATATGGGAGCATCATTTTTCGAAGATAGAGCGAATAGTTGAGGTTAGGTATGTTGTAGGGACTCATCAGACAGCCAAGATTGCCTCCAAAAGGATATAGACTTACCATCACCAATAATAAATGCCAGCCGCTCATAGATCAAATTCTGTGTTTTTAATATGGCTTTCCATGATCCTTTTGCAGTGGGATTGGATATAGAATTTGGCTGCTGGTTTCAAGAAACTTTGCCATATTTGGCTTCAATAACATCCTTCCAGAGAGCTAATTCCTCTTTTAAATACCTCCAAATCCATTTAGCGAGAAGGATACGGTTTTTAGTTTTCATTTTAGTCATACCGAGGCCTCCTTCATGAATTGGTTTTTGCGTAATGTCTCTCTTGACTAGGTGTAGTCCCTTTGTCTCTCTATTACCCTTCCAAAGAAAGTTAGATAAGATGCTGTCCAAGGAGAGTGCTACCTTTATTGGCAATGGGAAGAGTGAAAGGAAATAGGTAGGGAGGTTTGTTAGGGTGGCTTGGATGAGAGTGTGTTTGCCTCCCTTGGAGAAATAGGAATTCTTCCATGATTGAAGTCGTTTTCGGACTTTCTCAATCAATGGATCCCAAAAGGAGATAGATCCATGCTTTCCATGTAGGGGTAAGCCAAGGTATGTGTTCGGACAGGAGCCAATTTTGCAAGCAAACTTGGTGGCTAGTGTATTAAGGATCAGCTTCCTCAAGATTTATCCCCAAGATCTCTGATTTCTGGTGGTTTATGTTGAGTCCGGATGCTTCCTCAAAAAGTCTAATGATGTTAAACATATTGATAAGGGAGGAATCATCAAAGGGTGAGAAGAGAATGGTATCATCAGCAAATTGTAGGTGATGGATGGCCAAGGAGTGATTACCAATGTCAAACCCTTTTATGAGGTTGTTGCTTGCAGCATGGGTCATTAGTCTACTAAAAGCATCAACAATCATGATAAAGAGAAAGGGAGAGGTGGGTCACCTTGTCTAAGACTCCTTGATGCTATTAATTTTCCTCGAGGACAACCATTAATAATGATGGAGTAATTTGCAGAGGAGAGACAACCCCGAATCCACCGTCTCCATGTGTGGCCAAAACCTTTGGCAGTAAGGACCTCATCAAGGAAATCCCAATCAACTTTGTCGAAAGCTTTTTCAATATCGAGTTTGATGACCACTCCCTTTCTCTTTTTCCTATCCCATTCTTCAATGAGCTCGTTGGCTATTAGAGAAGCACCTAGGATTTGTCTTCCAGCTACAAAAGCAAATTGCTCTCTTGTAATAGTGTGGGGCAGCAAACCTTTAAGTCTTTCAGAGAGCACTCTAGCAATAATCTTGTAGAGGCACGAAATGAGACTGATGGGGCGGAAATCTCCAACCTTCCTTGCATCAACCTTTTTTGGGATGAGACAAATGTATGTTTCATTGAGGCTTGCATTAATAATGCCATTCTTAAAAAAATCCTAGAACACTCTCATGATGTTGGGTTTGATAGTGTTCCAAAAATTTTTATAGAATTCGGCCGTGTAGCCATCCAGTCCAAGCGTCTTGTTTATTCCCAATTAATTCACAGCTTTCCAGATTTCCTCCTCAGTGAAAGGTCTCTCTAAATCAGTACTTTGTTGTGCATTTATCGGGTTCCAATGGAGGGGGGAGGGGAGGAAACAAGTGTCGTCCTTCTTTGAGTATAACTTGTCAAAAAAAGAAAGAAATTCGTTAACAATTTCATCCTCCCCCAGGAGGCTGGTGCCTTCCAAAGAAAGAACTTCTATAATGGTGTTTTTCCTCCTCTTTGCCGCCACAATTGTGTGGAAAAAGGAAGTGTTTAGATTTCCCTCTTGTAATCAATTGGCTTTGCATCTCTCTCCATATAGTCACTTCTTTGTAGAAAGCAATTGTGCTTTGATGGATCTCCTCTGTGTGAATTGTGTAGGGTGTAGTAAACCTTCTGCTTCTTCTATATTATCCAAGATAGCGAGCTGAGATAGTAGGAGGTTCTTTTGCTGGTTGATGCTACCAAAAGTGGATTTGTTCCACAATTTAATAACTGATCTCAGCTCCTTTAACTTTTTAATAAAGCTATGCCCTGGCCAACCTCGTAAGGGGTTATTTTGCTACCAATATTCAACCAAAGGTTTAAAGGTTTGGTGCTGTAACCAAACATTCTCAAACCAAAATGGGGTTGGCCTCATTTTGCTAATCCAAAAGAAAGATGGATGGGATAATGATCTGATGTCGGACGGTTAAGTCGCTTAACTGCGGCATTTTGAAACTTTGAAAGGAAATCTCGTGTGGCAAGGAACCTGTCAATCAAGGTGAGGGTTGGGTTTTCACTAAAATCTGACCAAGTGTAAAGGCTGTTAGTAGGTGGGAGATCGTGTAGCTCTGCTTTCTCAATGAAGGAATTTAAGCAATTTATATTTCCACTCGGTCGGCGATAAGAAGATTTTTCTTGTGACCATCGGATGGTGTTAAAATCACCCCCCAATAGCCCAAGTTCCGAGCAAAGAAAGGAGAAGTCCATTAGTTCGTTCCAGAAACCAGCTTTCTCTTCTGTTCTTGTAGGCCCGTAGACCCCTGTAAGCCAAAAATTGAAGCCATCAGAAAGATTAATAAGGATGTTTATTGTGTGTAGACCCATGGTGATGTTTGAGACAAGGAAAGATGGGTCATTCCACATGATAAGAATGCCCACCGACATCCGATATCCCGAGAGCTCCAAAGAGATTTAATAGTGAGGCGGTCAATCTTTTCCAGCTTTGTCTCTTGGAGAATGACTATGGTAGGGTTGTGCTTGTTGATGAGACTTTTAATCAAGACCCGTTTGTCCCATGAGCCAAGACCTCTTACATTCCAAGAGACAATAATCATCGAGAAGTGGTAGACCCACCAGATAAATTCTTGGTTTGGTGAAAGTCATAGTTGATGGTTGATATGAGGTCAGCAAGTTCTCCTTTTCCCCGGTTCTCTTTTCTGTTGGAGAGCATTTTCTTTGTGACTTTTTGGGGAATGGGGTAAATGCCCATACCCATAGTATAGAGCCAAGGGATGACCACCTATAGATACTCCGAAGAGTGTATGGTGGGATCAAACAAGTGAGGGGCTGAATTTCGAGGGGCTCAGAGGTAGTAGGGACAAAGCTGTCCACGGGGTGATCAAGGGTAGTAGGGGAGGGGGTTCTGAAAGAGGATAGGGGCTAGAGAGGCATTGGTCAGATTCAGAGAGGAGACCAGGGGGGTTGGTGGAGTGCTTTGTACCAGGGATAAGGAAGGTTTTCTTTTCAGCGATGTTAACGGCTATTTTTGGCCCATCTAGGAGGAAAGATGGGTTTGGGAGAGGGGAAGGATGAGGAGTAGGTTGCGGTATAGTGAGGGGTGGGAGGCAGAAGGGAGGTGTTGAAGGGAAAAGGTCCAATGATGGAGACTCACTCAAGAAGTAAAAGAAAATCTCAATCTGTCTTTTTTAATTGAAACAGTACCCCATATATATAGGGGTTACAACTAACAGCAACTAAAGTAACTAACAATAGCTAACAAACAATAGTAACTTGAAGTTACTATACAGTAAAAGGGTCTTTTAAAAGAACTACAAATATAAGCTACACTTAAAAGACTAAAC